TGGGTGCTGTAGCCTGGCCTGGCCCGGCCCACCCCCAATTCCAGCTCAGGTTGGTGGGGGCAATAGCCTAGCCCAGCCCAGCTGGCACCCAGTCCAAGCCCTTGAGTGTACTGGTGTATGTTGCCACCGAAACTGGTTCGACCCACATTCCATTTTGTCCCTCCCCCAACACACTTCCACCTTTCTGCCACAAGAATTCCTGACTTTAGATGCAAGGGAGACTAGATGTCCTGCTTTCCCCTTCCAGCAGCTCCAGGGAAAGCAGGTTCACTCCTCCCAGTGTCTGTTTCACCAGCTCTGTGAAACATGACGTGAGGAACCATTTGCCAAAGTACTTAACACATGAAAGGTTTTAAGAAACTCTAATTCCAGGATAAAGGGGGGAGGTGAGGGAGGTGGCCTGCTGCATTTGTACAACTAAGAAGGAAACTCAAGTGACCCTCACAAACTAGAGATGATTAGCTTCTCCATACTGAAAGGGAAAAAAAAAAGGATCTTGTTATATAGCTAATTGCCACTGAATAATGCAAAAGATGGATATTACAGTTCTGAGAACAGGAAGATCAAAGAAGTTTGAAGATACCCTGAACATTTTAAATCTTCCACTTGGAATGCGGAATTTTAAATCAAAATTGTACTAACACAGATTAGTTTGTAAGAGAAAGTATTTTCTGGAACATACTACCTTATTATAACTCCATAACCAATTTTCTCTATAGCACAACTAAATTGTTTCTGATTTCTCCTGCTATTTTAAAGAAATTGTTTTCCTTCAGATTGACTATTTTTTTAAATATTTTTCTGAAGCAGTTGTATTTATATGCATCTCACCTCTATTGGAAGATGATTCATATTCAGTTCTTCCATTTATGATGTACTATTTGATACTTTTTAATATAATCACAAAGTTACACGATCCTCACCACAACCAACATTAGAATATTTTTTTCAATCCCAGAAGAAACCTCATGCCCATCACAGTCACTCCTATTTCCCTGCAATTCCTTCCGTCCTCACCAATGGTTAAATTGCCTCTGTCTCAATGGATTTCCCTATTCTGGACATTCCATACACATGGAATCACATAATATGTAGCATTTTGTGGCTGGTTTCTTTCTTTTTTTTTTTAAACAAATTTATTTGTTTATTTGAAGGGCAGAGTTACAGAGGAGCGAGAGAAAGGGGGTGAGGCAAAGACACGAAAATACAGATCTTCTATCCACTGGTTCAGTTCCCCCGGAAAATGACCACAAAGGCTAAGGTCCCAGGGGCCAGGAGCATCTTTCAGCTCTCCTGTACAGGTGCAGGGAACCAAGCCTTTGGGCCATCCTCCACTGCTTTGCTGGGCCACAATCGGGTTGCTGGATGGGAAGTACAGCTCCTGGGACGTGAACCCACAGGATAGTATGTTCACATAGGAGCTGTGCAGGCAGCAGCTCTACTCAACACACCACAATGCCAGCCTCATGACTTCTGTTCACTTAGTGTGGTTTTCCAGATTCATGCCTTTTGTAGCATGTATCAGTACTTTACTTCCATGTATTAATGCATATTTCATCCCATGTATATTCTACAGTTTATCTATCTGCTCATTAGGCCATGGACCTGTGGATTGCATTTCCTTTTTACTATTATGAACAACAATGCAAATTTTTGTGGAGATATATCTTTTTGGGTGAATACGCAGGGGGGAAGTTGCCAATTGGTTGCATTTTAATTCACCTAACTTTGCTAATACTCTCACAGTGTGTGGGAATGTGTTTTATATAAACTACAGAAAGACACACAGTTAACAGAAAGAAGAGGCTGTGCCTGAACTTCTTTGCTATATGACAGTCAGGGTTGAAGTGACAGCACCAAAGTTATTGGGTCAAAATTTCCAATAAACAGGGCTGGCTTTGTGGTGTAGCAAATTAAGCCACTGTCTGTGTGGCTGAAACCCCATATGGGTGCCAATTCATTTCCCAGCTGTTCCACTTCCAACCCAGTTCTCTGTTAATGTGCTTGACAAAGCAGTAGAAGGTGGTCCAAGTGTTGGGACCTTTGTCATTCATGTGGGAGACCTGGACGAAGCTCCTGGCTCCTGGTTGCAGCCTGACCACGCCCTGGATGCTGTGACCATTTTAAGGGAAGCAGTGGAAGGAAAATCTCTATCTCTCCTGCTCTTGATAATTCTTGCCTTTCAAATAAATACAAAATCTTTTGAAAATATCCTACAAAGGATTTTTTCCCCCAAGGAAAAAAGTGTCTGTCGTTGAACTTATATTTGAGTACTGGAGAGAGAGAGAGAGAGAGAGAGAGAGAGAGAGAGAGAGAGAGAGAGAGAGAGAATCGGGACTCCAATTGGGTTGAGTAGGGACCAGCAGAATAAGGACCATCAAATCACATGGGCAAGGTCACAGCAATGACCGGCAGGCGGAGGTAGGGTGAACTTTGGCAGGACAGGATCAGAGGCACCTGGCCCATCCTCATGAAGCTGTTAACAGCAACTCCAGGCTGACGTAAAACCAGTGAAGAGAGCCAGCTGGAAGTCAAAGGCTTGAATATCGATCAGTGGGCAAAAGCCACATTCATCACAGGGCTCGTTCCCAAAAGGACCCGTGCCTGTGCGCAGGGAACTCATCATTTCACCATTAAATAGATGGATAAGGTCCTTTAGAATAGACACTGATGCCAGGGGGGTGCAGCTAATCAAACTGGAATAACACGTTTGGAGGACGAAGCAGGCCCTGTGCCAGCTGGACAGGGAGCTGGTCCCAGAGGTACAGCACACTGCAGCGAAGCACCCTGTTTCTGCTCTGGGAGACTGAGCATAGAGGAGGCCTGGCAGTGTCCTTCAACTGCCATCGCAGGCTCCAGTTCCTGGACTGACATCCCTCAGGCACAGCTGCCCCAAAACAAGAGAAAAAAGGATTCAGCCCCAGAGGACCACGCCTGAGGGAGTTCCTAAGAGCAAGAAAACTGGGGGAACCGGGCTGGGGTTGAGACACGGATGAGGGCAGCAACAGCAGTCTGCAATGCTAACCGCTTGCGTTTGCACAAGGTTCCCACGACGCTCAGGCAAAGGAGGCAACGGCTTAGCTTGTGCTGAATAAAATGTTCTCCCTGGCCGCACTTGGGCAAAACAGCTGCCAGTGTCAGCTAGCTCCTGCTGACCCTGCTAGGTCAGGGTGGAGTCTCCCCAGCTGCCCCCTGGCTGACCAGAGGCCAAGGCAGTCAACTCCAGGGCTAAAAGGACCAATGTTTCCCGGATGACCCGAGTCCCTAATGTGCCCTTGTTTGAGAAACCCGGCACCAAGTCAGATGCTTTCCAACTTTCTGGAAGCTCTCTTACCACCAGCCTAGCCCTCAGTGTGTGCAGGGCGCGAAAGAACGCTGCTTTGTGGAATGCTCTGTGAGGGGAGGAGGCTCAGGGGCCAGAACAGACACCAGACTCGCAGGGCAAACCGACACTTGACCTTTGGGCAGCCCTTAGCTCTGAGTAGTTGTTGTGGAAGCCACACAGCTGGGCACTGGGGATGGAGGAGGTCTGGAGGTGCAGCCCACGCACCTCAAGTACAGAAACGCAGTCACCATCATACACGCTTATTTTCCTTAGTTTCACTCATACTAGCGTTCCTGTCCACACAGCCAGCAGGAGAAGGGAGGCTGGAGAGCGGAGGCAGGAAAAGGGGGCTGGTTGCCCTAAAGAATGCAAGGACTTCTGCGGGCACGGAGTGCGCTCCTAGCCACAGAACTTCGTCACCCCAGCCCATCCGCAGGCTCGCGCGAAGCACCCACCCGTTTTCCAAGTCGCATTGGGGCCGGGAGCGATCATTTCCCGGCAATGCTCCAGAGCACTCCCTTCCCAGCGCCAGCCTCGAAGGAGCCGCTAACGAGCTTTCCCAGCACCTCCTCTCCCCCTGCCCACTCTCCTAGTGTCTTAGCCCCTTTCCCGGGCTGGAGGGTTCAGAGAGCGGGGTAAGGCCAGAAGACACCTGGCAGTCCGCCCGGCTTTGGGCGCCTCCTCCTTTGGTGGCACTGCCGGCCCCCACCCGCGCCAGACTCTGCCGTGTCTTTTCCGCAGCGTCCCCTCCCCGCCTGCACCTGCCTCGGGATGGGGGGCACCGCGGGAGGTAAAGCAGCAACCCGAGAGGGTCTAAGGAAGCTGGGCGCTGCGGGTGAGCAGCCTCGTCCCGCGCCTCCCGCCCCCGCCGTCCCGGCGCCGCCCGCGCCCCGGCTGCGGCACCGACGCGCTGTCCGCGGTGCTGACGCGGCCGCCCGCCCGCCGGGCCGGGAGGGGGAGCAAACGCCCCGGTTCTCCCAGAGCCCGGCTAACACCTCCCCCAAAGCACCCTCCGCGTCCGGGCGCTGCGCTCTGATGCAGGACAAAGGAGAAAGCGAAGGGAACTTAAACTTAGGACTGGAGCCCCAGAATCCGGTGTCGGGGATTCGCGTGGTACGACCCCAGCCTTGAGACCACAGAGCGCGCTCAAGTTACACAAAGTTGCTCGGCGGCGAGAGATAAGGAAGGGATTTCGGAGCCAAGGTGCTGGAAGACTAGAAGAGCTCCCTGGTGATTTGACTGCCAGCACCGCAGTCGGACACCTGCCCGGCTGCCCGCATTCACGCCTCCAGAGAGGCCCGGAGGCGTCTCCGCAACCCAAACTCTCCACCCTCCCTAGCTCACCCCTCCCCGACACCCCGCCCCGGGAGCCGTTGACTCCGCCTCTCCGGGCCGGGCGCCTCTTGGGCTGAAGCTGGGAAGGGAGCGCTTCCCCGGACTCTGCTTGGCACCAAGGCTCCGAAGCCGACGCCGCCAGTTCAGCCTCCCGGGGGCACGAGGAGAACTGCCCGCGCGCCCCGCGCCTGAGAGCCACCAAGCCAGGACGCTTCATGGAACCTCCCCGGGGGCCCCCTCCGCGTCCGGCTGCCGCGTCGTGGTCCTAGGCGTCCGGGCTCCACGGTCCGCCCCGCCCGCAGCCCGAGGCCTGTCCAGAGAGGAGTATGAGGCCCGGGGTCCCGCGGACGCTGGCCACAGGGCGGCAGGGGCCTAGCTGCGGAACCCCGCACCCGAGGGCAGCGGATAAGCACTCGAAGGAGCCGACGAGGCGTCGGGGCGCGAGCCAGAGCGCCTCAGCCCAGGCGTCCGCTGGGCCTCGGAACCCGCGTGTGGCTTGAGAGCCAGGGAGAAGGCGGAGGCGCGCCGCCGTCCGGGCTCCGCAGCAGCCCCTCACCCCCCAAGCCCTGGTCACCGTCCTCACGCTACTGCTCCCGCGGGGAGATGTCGCGGCCCGGGCCCCGAGCGCCACCCGGGCCCCGGGGCTGAGCTCCGGACCATGTCCTCCCGCAGCCCCCGGCCCCCGCCCCGCCGCTGCCGCCGCCGCCTGCCGCGCCCCTCCTGCTGCTGTTGCTGCTGCCGCCGCTCGCACCTCAACGAGGACACCGGCCGCTTCGTGCTGCTGGCGGCGCTCATCGGCCTCTACCTGGTGGCGGGCGCCACGGTCTTCTCGGCGCTCGAGAGCCCGGGCGAGGCTGAGGCGCGAGCGCGCTGGGGCGCCACGCTGCGCAACTTCAGCGCGGCGCACGGCGTGGCCGAGCCGGAGCTGCGCGCCTTCCTCCGGCACTACGAGGCCGCGCTGGCCGCCGGCGTCCGCGCCGACGCGCTGCGTCCGCGCTGGGACTTCCCTGGCGCCTTCTACTTCGTGGGCACCGTGGTGTCAACAATAGGTGAGCGGTGCGCCCCTTGCGCGGCTCTTCCTCTCCGCGCTTTTCCCCTGCCGCGCTGTGCCCTATTCGTCCGCGCCTCCAAGCTCCTGCCTTTCTCAGCTGCCTGGTTGCCTACTTTGGTCTCGTGCTCTCCCGTCCGCCCCTCCGTCTCTCTCGTGACTTTTGGCGCGAGAGGTGGCCCAAGGAGAGCCGAACTCGGGATGACTTTCCAAGTAGTGTGGCCGAATGGGGCAGGGATCCTCAGTCCGGTCTTCAGCAGACCTGAGCGCCCTCGCTGCAAAGCACGTCGGCCTGCTGACCTATCTCTGCGCGCGCGCCTGATTTCTCTCCTTCAGAAGGAAACTCGCAGGATACTGGGGCTGCTGCACTTCCCTATGTGCCACCACCCTGGGCTTGGGTTTCCACATCCAGATCATTTCAAAAGCCCTTTCTATCTCCCCTTCCCAGCAGTATCCCCCTTCCTCCCACTGTTGCGTTTTCTTCTCTGTCCTGGCAGTGGTCTCCAGCCTTTTCACCCTGGGGAGGTCTCTTGCCTGAGAATCACTTCTCCCCCATCTCCCTTCCGCCCGCTTCCCCTACCCTGCGTCTCCCTGCTGCTGTCCTGCGTCCTCCTTGGCTTTTCTAGTCCCTCCTCCACCCCCGCCTCTGTTTCAGTTTCCGGATCTCTTTTCCTGTTCCCTGGCCACTTCTTCCAGCCAGTAATGGTAGGGGGGGGTGGGGGTGGATTTGTCTCCTGTATTTCCCATTAGCTCTTCTACTTTTGATATGGGCAATTCATGTAGTTCCAGCCTGGCGCCCCTTGCTGTGTGGATGCTCCTACAAGCTCCTTTTACTGGGCTGGGGTGGCCCATCCCATCCTCCATCCGTCTTTCTTCCTCTCCCGTCACTCAGGTTCCCTTCCCCACCCTACCCTGTTACCTGTAAAGAGGGTACAGGAATACTGGCTATCGGCTTTGGGGATATGCTGTGTCCCACCCACCGCTGCTTCTGGTCTCCAGCTGGGCAAATGCACTTGGCAGGTCACCCCTCCAGTGTCCAGAGGTGTTGCTTCCTGGTGGAGTGCTTTTCTGAACAGGAAGGCTGGATTTGCTGAGCTGAGAAGTAAGAGATTCTGTAGCTAAACCTTGCATGGAGAAGGAGGGGTTCTGGCATGCTTTGGTATTCTAGCGTTGAGACAGGGGCCTGGGCTCACTGGCTACAGAGAGTAGCCACTCACTGGACTCACTGCTACAGATGGCCGCTCAGAGGCAGCAAGACTAGAGCCGGGTGTGGGATGTGAGCAGCAGAGCCGTCTCTCGGGTGCGTATGGAGAGTCTGTGAAAGGGCCTCCTTGCCTTCAGTGCTTTTTTCATGTGTCATGCTTGATCTGCTCGTTTTAAATAGAAAAGGCAGATATGGCCCAAGTCCAAAGCACACACAAATTGGATAAAAATACCTTAAAAGCTATATCATGTTGTTATGGTGATTGGAGATATAAAATGACCCCCCCCCAAAAAAATCCCCTTTTAGAGCTGCATCAAGTTGCTATAGCAACTAGTTTTTTTTTCTAAGAGCTTTAAAAGTCCTAAAGATGCTTAGTCCTGGAGAATGTGTGTGCTGGGTGGTCAAAGCATTTTCCCTGGCAGCGTGTGCCCTGGGTTGCTGTGGGACCCACAGGCTGAAGGGGAAGTATGTGCCGTGTTCTCTTCCCCTATAAACAGCGAGTGCATCCACATGGGGTCCCATTCCCTTAGCTGTGGTCTCTGTGTCTCTGTCAATTTCTCACGCCCTGCCCCTTGGGAGGCAGTGACCTGAGCCCAGCTGAAGCCTCTAAAGTATCTCTCAGCTCTTTGCCTAAAATTGAGTCAGCGTGTTGGAAAATTGTTCTGTGTCCTGGCCTTCGGTCTACCAGCAGGTTGGCTGTGCTTTCAGTCAAGCAGAAAGGAATGATGTTCCTTCCTGATTAGCATTTTCAGATGGAGGCAAGCAGTACAAGAGGGCAACACAGAAGTATGTGGCATTGCCCTGAGTCAGCCAGCACATTGCTTCCAGAACCTTGAGAGAAACTTTGGAACCAGCCTATAAACCAGCTCTGCAGTGATCCCGGGTCACCTGCCTGGCAGTCTCAGTGGTTGAAATTGGTCCCTTCTACCAGTGAGATAAGTCCCCAAGGATATGCTTTTCCTTTCAGCCTTCTCTTTGCAGAATGTACTTGGATGAGATTTCAGGAAAGACCTGCCCACGTCAGTTTCTCATCTGCTTACATACTTCCTTTCCCTAAAGTGCTCTGAGTCTGCAGAGATGATTTTTATTAGCACTGATGCTTTTTATGGATTTGTCAGCTCAGGCAGCTACGGCTCAGGCCATAAGGGGTCTCATCCAGGGTAGGGGAACCCTACTGGACTCATTTTCACTGGATCCATGACTGGCATTCAGGGGACCAACAGGACCCATTAAGACTGTGTCAGAGTGTTCTTTTTTGTGTTGTGGAGACCCAGCTAAATGACTCAGCTAGACTCTGGGGTAGAAAACTCTTCCTTCTGTCTTTCCATGAATCAGAGGTCTTAGTGTGTCACTGTATTCTGAAAGACTGGAACTTACTTTCATTAGCAAAAATTAAGGCGTGATACAACATGGACAGTTGAGTTGCAGCATTGATGGGCTGGCTGCCTAGCCTAGAAATCCTTAATAAAGAAGATCGCAGTGAAAAGGAGACCTTTAGTTTAATCCTATGAGGCACAAGGCTAAAGGGCTTACTTGTCTAAGACCACACAATGAAGGGTTCAGACAGGTCCAGAATCCATGTCACATGGTACATTTCCAGAGTTGAATGGGTGGGGGGACACCGTTGTCTGAAACGGAAGTAATTAATTATGGGGCTATGTGTCTTAATGTCCTAGGGTATGTCAGACATCAAGACAAGAGCTGGCCTGTTGATCAGGCCAGTTACTGAGTAAAAAGTCAAGAGAATCAAAGAAATCCTGCAGTTTAGATTGGTTAGAAGCTCCTGGAAGATCTTGACTAGCTGAACTAGCCAGTATGAGAAAGTTCACAGTCAGGGGCATTAGCAAGTAGGAGACTTTCTGGCAAATTCTGATGCAAGAACAGACGCTCCTTGCTTCCCGCCTGCATTTGCATCAGTGTGTTTGCCTTTTGTCTCAGGAGTGCATGTGTGCGCCCTGGGGAAGGAAGAGCAAGCTGGGCCTTCCACCGGCGGGAGCCGCGAAGACACAGAAATGGCTGTGTGTGCTCCAGGTTCGATGGAACACTGAAATGTCTGTCCCGACACTTGGTTTGCAAAGGGCCCCACACGCAGAGATGGGCAGCTGGCAGTTTGTCATTACGTGTCTGTCCGTACAGCACACTGATCCAGCTGCCAGTAATTTTTCAGTTGTGGTTGGGGCTGCTTAGAGAGTCATCCTGACTAGCTCAAGCAAAATGAAAATCCACTCTGTGCTTTAAATTCTTCCCTCAGACTGCTTACACGGAACTGAAGTGCTCGGTAATTATTTCTCCCTTCCACGCTTGCTATGTGACCCACTACCGGCGGCATCTAACTCTAGTTTGTTGTAATGCCACTGCATTTCTCCATGGAACAAGCAGCCCTCACAGATACTGCCTGTGTGGCCTTTGGCATGTCGTTGTCCATATGTCCTGTGAGGACGTGAACTTCTGAAGCTACAGAGGGTAGCCAGTGTTTGTCCCCTGTGGTTCAGATAACTCAGAACAATCCAGAGTATTAGTCCATTGTTGCACATCCTAAAGGATGTTTTATTGGTTTACTTTGAACAGATTAAAAGGAAAGTCTCTCCTGGGGTTTTAATTATGCATCTGCTGTCAGATTTACACATAGGAAAGCACATATTTAAAAATCTTTCTCAAATGGCAGCTTAGTATAAACAGAAATATTTTTGCTTCCTTTTTATTGGGTTTTCTGGCAGCATTTTTTAGCTATAAAGCTCTGCTGTATGGACAGGATAGGAGAGCTGTCACTTTTGGCACTGCATAATCTAGCTCACTGCTTTCAGAACTAGGCATACTTAATTATTCAGCCGCGAGATTAGTAACAAGTCCCCGCTCCCCGCCCCCCCTTCCTTGAACATGGATTTTTTTTTTTAAATGTTTTCTCTACAAAGGATCCTAAGACATCATAAGAATGAAATGCCTCTACCAAATTTACATTTGATTTTCTTCTAATGTGTAGATCATGCAACTGGAAGTGGCTCCAATAGCTGGAATGGCATGCCTGGCCCAGGAGGAAAACAGCACCTTCTTTGCTCATTTTTCTTGGCTATTTTTTTTTAAATTGAAAGATGATAGTACAATAGCAAAGGAAGGACATTCAGAAGTGTGTGTGTGTGTTTCATTAGATTTGAAGCTTCAGATGACAAGTGGAGAATGAGCATCATCCACCCACTGCTCCAGCCTCAGCACCTTGCAATGAACTCAGCACATGGTACACACACTCTACGTCATTACCGAGTTCTCCTGATAGCTCACAGCACCACTGCCCGCATACAACTCTACATTTTTGCAGGCTCTTCTGCAGCTTTTGTGGGGGAAAGGAAAGGAAAGAGCTGATGTGTGTCCAGTCGCTCCCATTTTGTGAACACTTTATGGCCACCATTGTTTCCCACAATTCCACCCAGCCTCCCGGTGCAGAATACAGAAGCTCTGTCTAATGGATGTGCTGTGCGTCCCCGCCCCTATTGCTGCGTGGCAGGGTGGTTCCCAGTTTGGGGCTATTTTGGGTAATGCCACAGTGCTCATCTTTATGCACATGGCCTTTTCTTTCTGGAATACTTCTTTGGGATGTATTCCCAGTGGGGGAACCACTGAGTCAGTGGGTGCTGCTGTCTGCGAGGTGCGAGGTGCATGCGGCCAACCCTTTGAGTGCAGATCTGTCTGGTTGCTCCCAGAGCCCTGCAGAGACTGGACAGCTCTTCAGCTAATTGCCCTGTGGAAACAAGCCACAACCCACTTGGTTTGTTCCAGGATCATGTTCAGTTCCAGTGGCTGAG